CCGCCACTGGTTAATCAGTATATCTTCCTCGATCACTCCGTGTATTCGCCCTCACAGTTACGTATGGGAATTCTGTGTCTACACCTCTCTCGAGGATACGTTCACATTATCGCGCTGGTAGAGGCCCCAGAGCGGTCACAGCCAGCCTTTTATGCGTGTCCGTCTAGGCAAAATTTGATGAGTGGAGTGTATTTTGGAGGTTATTCATTACTTACGCTTTAGCCTGCAGAAGGTACTTTATTTGGACACGAATAACGAAACCGTTCGTCTTGTAATGGTAAACAGCACCGTAAAAATCATTCACGCCTAATTAGATATGCCGTCTGTAGCCTGCGGACTGATTGGCCCGTGTAGGGCGATTGTACTTCGGTCTCTTATTGTCTGTCCATTTATATTACCCATCCCAGCTACTGCAATGGCTCTAATCGGGTTTCATATCCAGGAAACTGAGCTTATTTAGCCAGCTGACAAGGGACTGATGCGACCGCTTAGAGGCCATTATTAGCGAGGTCAAAAGTATTGCCCATCTTCCTGACAGCGGTCCTAAAGTTTTCTGCACCATTCAGATGCGCTTAAATCTCTTTCTTGCAGACTAAGGCATGTAAAGTGGGCGGGATTAAGCATCCGACCCAGTGCCGCACGTGTCCAGATTGGTTAAAGCGGAAGGAATTGGCTCAGTCAATCAATCTGGACGTATGCAGCACCTCGTCGGGTAACTTGATCCGCCCACTATACGGGCCTTAGTTGGTGAAAAGAGAGTATGCGAAAGAAGCGAAAATTTTGTCGGCCCAGTTTAGCCGAAACGGACACGCGCAGTGGGCTGATGGACTGAACTCTTTTGTATTAAAAAGTGAGATGAGGAATATTTACTATATTTTCTTTTTTCTTACTTTTTACATGTTCATGGTTGTTTTGAATTCATCTTTAGCCTATTTTTCTTACTTTCTTTCAGTTACAATCGTCAAACGGGCTTTTGCACGATCTTCAGACTTCAACACTGCCAACCAGCGATCAGCTGAGTCTTCTGGCTCTCGGCCAAACCACGTCGAGCACCTCACCGCAATGTACGAATAATGCGGTGTCGTCGTTGCTGGCGCTGAGCCAGAACCAGCCGAATCCCACGCCCACGCATCCTGCGTTTCCCACGCCCAACCACCTGCATCAGGCTGCCGTTGGACTGCTGAACTCACTACAATAGCTAGCATCCATTTAGGCGTTAATTCTCCCTATCTGCCTGTCCGACAGCGACTTTTCTCGTCTCAGGACTCTTCCACGTGCGGCGTTGTCATTGACGTAGGTGTGACCTGTACAGGTACAAATGCAAAATAATACAAATACATTTACTTACTAAGTATAATCTAGTTCTTGATTCGGTTACATAGAGATGGTTTCTCCTGAAATTTGATGTTATAAACCCGGTTATTCTCTTTTTTTCTCAAGAAGCTTCTCTAAGCGATAAAATAATAGCCATGTAATCTCGTCCCGGTTCGTCCCAGTGAATATTGCTAGCGAGTAGCCTGCTACTGTACCCTTGCGGTTACAGATCTGCCCATACGCGTACGTTTCGAGGTCACGAATCCTCTGTGTTTCATAGTGCTTCATAGCTATCCGA